AGCTCCCAGGGAGCAAAGAAGTTGTGCACCCAAACTCTCGATTAGCCTTTTTCTGGTTGTTGGGTTTTTTTTATTTCTGGGCAGGGCTTTGTGTGTGTGTGTGTGTGCGTGCACGCATACCTGCAACTGAAACTGTGCTGAACAGCACGTTTTCTGTATTCCAGAAGTTGCACAATCTGAATGCAACACAGAACTGAAGCACTGTGCTTAGATGTTTTTCTTCCAGTTCAGAACCTGTCTACGAGACACTCATATAGTGCTTGTCTTGAATACATACATATTCAAAGTATGAGGAGATACTGGAAGGAATGACTAGAGTGCAGCAGCTTTACATTAAAAAGATCTTACAAAGGAAGTCCAAATACAAATGATTCGGAGGAAGGAATGTGGAAGCTACGTCCAGCCATCTTAACAGGGCCATTGTGGTAGATGTCCCTTTCTTGTGCTGCCTGCATCTGCTTCAACCATTTGACATAGGCTGAGAAATGATGAGTTTTAAAAGTGTTTTTGACAACAGGAGATTTGTTTAAAAGTCTCAGGAGGCTCTTTTAATTATTGAAGTCATTAGTGCATGGTTTGTGTGGAGGAACTGAATGCCTGAACTTAATTTCTGAGCCATGTGCCTACCAGAAGGTGTTACATTGGTAACTGCTAGAGTGTTGGGGAGTAACTTTTCAATTGTTTTTTAAAATATCTGTGAAACACCCCATAAAATTTTGAGACAATAACTAGGTTATAAGACCAGTACCAGAAAGTTAGCGAATGTCTGGATTAAACTTTCCAGGCTGGCCCCAGTTTGATTTCATTGTTGGAATTCTTGTTGTAAGTAGTTGGACTTTGTAGCTGTGATTGAATTATATACAGTGCTAGCCAAATATGTATGTAACTGCGTCCTTCATTTTCTCAGTCCCTAACCTGGGGTTCTGGAGCCTGTTTTGCAGCAGTAGTGAATTTCCACTGCTGGTGTTAATGGGAGCTCTCCTTTGGGCATACGAAATGCAATAGAATTTAGAGTACTGAGACCACTCCAACTTTGAAACATCTGAAGTTGGGCACTCAAAATTAGTGATTTTTTTTTTTTTTTTAGTCTTAAACTTCGGTTTGAAAATACATCAAGATTCGTAAAGCATTTATATATTGTACAGACGGGCGTTTTGGAAAATCTCATGAGGTAATGAAATCTGTCTCCAGAGCAGTTTCTTCATCATTCAAACCGTGAGCGGTAGACTAAGTCCTAGGTCCATGTGTTGAGCAATGGGAAGGAAGCAGAAAGTAATTAATCAGAATAGCAGCTGATTAAGTGTGTGCTGTCCATTCCTTGCACTGAATAATGTGGAGAGCTTGTAAAAATTGTGCCTCTGAAGACTGAGAGATATATAGGGTGTTGATTAAACGTTGCGCAGGCGGCATCAATTTTGTCACTTCCTAGATTTTGAAGGCTTCTCTTGCAATCGTTGTAAGCAGTGTGTATGCATGCAGCAAAAATAGCAGGTTAAGACAGCAGGTGTGTACCTGCTGATGCAAGTGATTGAAGAGCCTGTTTCCTTGGAGAGACCTACAGTGTGCGCTTTGTGTGTATTTGTATGTATTTTGTTTTGTTACGGAAGACCATACAAAAGATAAATGTTGATAACAGTATCAGTAGAAACACTGTTTAGTAGGTACATCACTGTCAAGGAGAAAGAGCAGTGTTTATACTTCATGGCTATGAGAGCATTTTTTTTACTCTCCATTCTTCTTTCATTTTTTCCTTTGATTTTACTTCACTAGCAAAACATTCACCAGTATAAATTGGACTACTAAGTCCTAGTAATTAACTTTCTAATAGGAAAGTGTCATTTCTTTGGAAGATTAGTGGTTTGTTTATGGTTCAGAAAATACTGTAAAAGAAGTTATATGGACTTTGCTATAAAATGGATTTGGTTTTCCTTCCTATTGGTGGTTGTCTCAGGATGTACTCTTCATATAGGCTGCTTTACTAAAAACATTAATAGATTGTTGGATAAACTGAAATAAATCATTATGTCCTTAGAGTGGAAATTAGTTGGCTTTACGCATTAGTCCAAATTTGGGATGCAGAAGTCTTTGCCAGCTATCCTTCTCTTTATTTTTCTTCTTTAATCTGTTTAATACATATAATCCCTTGTAATCATTGTGTCTGAGTGTCGTGAGTAATTACAGAGTCAGACTCCTCTTTGCTTTCTTTCCTTTTGGCTAATATTCTTTGAACTTGAGCTGCTTTACAGCATCAAAGAGATGAGGGTGTGGAAGGCACAACTAGCTCAAGTTTGCTTATTTTATCTTAAGTCTTTGCATCAGGTACATAAAAGTCACCATGGAGAGAATTACGGCATGAAGCAGACTGTTTCCTCTGCCTGACACTCTGCTTTGCTTTGAGTGATGAGCTGTGACAGCACACGGACACACTGCCTAGCTAGCTGTAACGTAAGAGTGATAGTGTGACAGCGGCAAGCATCCCTGTGAGCTGTACCAGGGTCGTGGTGGCTGTGAAACGGCTCTTGGTACTCAGTATGACGGATCGAGCGAGCCCAGGTATGCCGCGAGGTGGATTCGTGCAGTGAAATGTTAGAGGACGATGCTGGCTGGAAGTATTGCAGCTCTCCTTCAGCCACTTTGTGAAATTACAGCCCTGTCGTTTCGTATCCCGGCACAGTTTAATCCAAACAAAGGCTGCGATACCTCAAGTGTCAGCGGAAGGGATGATAAACGTAATACATCGCTGGCTTCAGAGGCTTGCTGCACTGCAGGGCATTGCTGTCTGCCTTCCCTACTTTTTCCTACCTTCCAAGAAGAGCATTGCAAGCTCCTCTGTGCAGTTGAGTAGCACATGCTGCAAATACCGAACACGGTCTTTGCAACCCGTGTGAACTCTCCTCTCTGACGAGGGTAGGCCTGCTGGCCTTCAAAGAGGTGACTCTGCTCGGCATGCTTTGTAGCACTACATGCAGATGCTGAACTTTTGAATTCATGATTGAGCATCTGGCTCTTGAAGAGCTGAACATTCTCTCTTCAGAATGACATTATTTGGCATTTTTCCAAGGGAATAGCTTAACTGTCTTTTGCCCTCAGCATGCAAGTTGCTGATACTCATTGTTCTTCTCTTGACAGGCTGCTGATACCCTTGCTGTGAGGCAGAAGAGAAGGATCTATGATATCACCAACGTTTTGGAGGGGATTGACCTCATTGAGAAGAAGTCAAAAAACAGCATTCAGTGGAAGTAAGCCGTGTCAATTCTGCAGATTTTCACGTGCTCAGGAGCAACAAAAATTGCCTCTTTCCACTTCTCCTGAGTAGATACGACACCGTAAAATTAATGTTACACTGATCAATGAGCAATATGACATTTTAGAAATCACAGTAAAGTTGCAAACGAGCTTTATTTGTCTTCTCTTTAACTTGCATCTTTGATACATAAAATCAAGTTTAAAGCATACAGGAGGGAAACTCAGAAAACTTGTATTGCTACTTTATAACTAGCACTTGTAGTTGAAAAATTTACTCTAGATGAATCTGGGAAGGGTATTGGGACACAGTGTCTCCACCTACCTACCTGCCTGTAGCCCATGCCTATTTTCTCTTGGGTCACTGAAGGTGAAAGCTCAAGTTAAGAGTTAGAGGGGAAGGAGAAGGGGCCTGTAAACCAGCTCCAATGCAGAAAAAGGTACGTTCCGAAAGAAAATAGGTAAAGGGGAATTTTAAATTTGATTTGAAGTTAAGAATTTTCATTTTTCTGTTAAAACACTGCTGGGAGGGTAAACACTCATTTCCTTCATGTTGAATATTAGTAGATTTTCAAAATGTCGAAAGTAGTCTTAAGAAATTATCTTTGCATGTTTGCTTCAGATTTTCACTTCTTGTGGTTTCATGAACCCTTATGCCTTTTTAAGAGGAGTAGGTGCTGGCTGCAATACAAAAGAAGTCATAGACAGGCTGAGGTATCTGGAAGCTGAAATTGAAGATCTAGAGCTAAAAGAAAAAGAATTGGATCAGCAGAAACTGTGGCTTCAGCAGAGTATCAAGAATGTCATGGATGATTCTACAAACCACCAATATCCTTTTAAATGAATTGTGTGCATCTTGGAACTAGAATTAAAGCAACAGTTAAAGTGTAGGTAATGGGTAAAGCAGAATGTAGTCCATTTTATCCAGAAGCAAGGACAGGCAAATTTTTTTTTCTGGTTTTGGTTCAAAAGGAAAGACAATATAAATCTTATTTACATGACTTTTTAACCTCTGTGCCTGTATGATTGGTAACCTGAAAATAATTTAGCGCATATATATATGAGACAGTAATTTTTAAGTCCATGGTATAATCCTGATGTCCTGTTTTAAATGAATGGTATTGCTTTCCAGCACTTGAATTTATACTTTCTTAGCAGTGCTTTACATGAATCTCTTTTTGTGTTGCTTCCTTCTCTTGAAAAGATTAAGCTATCACCCAAAGATAAATTGAGTTGACAAAGTCCTGAAGCTTGTTGGGTTTGGAACTGGAAAAATATCCTGTGTGTAAATACCCCATGAGCAGAGAGAGTTCCAGCTACATTGCTTGTAACCATGTGTTTAGCTGTCTTGCAAGATACTGAGCAAAATAGACACCTGAGATTTGGAGCAGAAAAGTGCCCCTGTTGTCTATAGTACCAGTGATAAGTACTTAAAAATTGCTTGCGGTTGCTCTACAGAAAGTGTTCCTGTAAAATGCATTTTGTAGAAAGGAGACTGAAGTTAGGCATTAGGAGAAACTTTCCTTTGGGAGAGCTAGCACTGGAATTGACCCCCCAGGGAGGTGGTGGAATATCCATCACTGGAGGTTTTCCGGAAGAGGGGAGGCAAACGTCTGGCTGGAATGTCTTAACAGTTGATCCTGCCTTCAGGCAGGGCAATGGGATGGCAGATGAACTCTCAAGTCCCCTCTGGCAGTATTTTTCTGTGATTCTGGGAAGTTCTGCTGCGTACTTGAATTCTATAGTGTCCGGTAAATCGTATTCTTCAAAACAAGATTTTACATGTTCTCCTTTTTTAGGAGAATCTCTTCTCATTCAAGCTACTTTTTTCTTTTTGTATTTTCTTCACAGATACAGTTTGGTGGTTTTTTTTCTTTGAAAGGCAAAACTCTGCTATTTTTAACTAGCCATTCTGAAAGCCAAAAATCATGCCTTGATTACACCTCTGAGTAACAGCAATAAGTCTGTAGTTTAGGCTCAGTTTGGACAAACTTCTTTTAAAGGGCAACAAATACCAGTTTCAAGTTGCTTTAAGAAAAATGTTCCTTGACATAAATTACGTTTTCATATGTCACCCATGAAGATATCTGCAACTGCTTCAATGGTAAGTTGCTGCTAGCCTGTATTTCTTAAAGTGAGGGATTTCCTCTTGAAAACTAGCTTGCTAACTAACCTGCTTTTTCCCTGTAAGTATTTTGAATTTAGAAGTATTTAATAGTGATCAGTAGTAAGTAGATGTCTCATAATGTTCATGACTAGGAAGTTCTGGCATTTTCTAGTTGTAGTCACAGATAGTGTGTACAGAACGGAAGCTCAGCTGTTTTCAGAGTACTGGTTTTGGATGTCTCTTTCTGTATTCATACTTTGCAGCAGCTTGCATCAGGCTGTTAACAGAACCAGGGGCAGGACATGTTGGTCCAACCCACCAGAAAGACCCAGCAGGTCCAAATTTCCTAAAACTTTCTGGTGGCAGCTGCAGCCAGAGGGAGCTCCTGATGATGCTATATAAATGGGGCCAGCTGAAGTTCAAAGATGGGGCATTGGTACTAAATCAAAAGGATTCCTTCTGTACAGGAGGTTTGAAGAAGTTGCCGAGAACTGCTGGCACAAGTTACTTCCCTTGACATCCTTTCCTGATCCTGGGGCACCCAAGGGAAGATGGTTGTTCAGCCTCCGGCTAGGCTCAGAACCATCTCTTCTTTGCCACAAGGAAGGTTGTGTTTGTTTTTGAATAAAAGTGCAAGATTAGACAACTACTGCAGAGTATAGCAAAAATGAGCTGTTACTAAAAAGAGCTAAGGCACCTAGTACGCCAGTCACATCGTAATTCATGTAAGTGTCTCTTAGGAAGTAGAGAAAGAAAAGCATTATTCCAAGTTATGGACAAAGGGGAAATGATGTGCAGGTAGGTGAATGACGTGCAGTGTAAGGCAGGTTGTGCCAATGCTGTTCATGTAATTGTGATCTCCTGACTTTAACCCATACATTTTGGTGCACATAATAAGCCACAGGTGAGTTTGATAGCCAGCTGTTACATCCCAGTTGTATGTGCTGCAGAAGCTGTGAGCTTAGATGTTGGCAAGTGCTGGCACTGAAGATGATCATGAAGACCTTTTCTTCCTTCTCCTGTTAAATATCTCTGTATTACCACCATTTTTCAAAGTCATAAAGTGAGCTGGACCAGAGAGCTGTTTTAGCTGAAAAAGAGACTAGTTAAATAAATACTTTCACCTCATGTTATGGATACAACTAGGAGATCTGGGGACAGTAACAAACAGGTAAAGGAAGTGCTGAATATTGCATTGCTATGAGAAAAGGTTCTTGCAACTATGGTCTAAGTATTGGAATTCTGTGTTTTATATTATGCAGTATACTTGGATCTTACAGGGACTATGCAAGTCCCACCACAAGTTTGTTTATGCTAGAATTACGCAGTATTTTAAGTGGCCTTAGAGAATTACCATATCTCATTTGAGTGGATACCATGCAAGACTTAAGAAAAATATGCACACTTAACACTTTTTTAAAAATTGCTATTTAACCAGGAGACACACTTCTAGCAATTCAAGCACCTTGTGGTACACAGTTAGAAGTACCTATACCCGAAATGGTATGTACTGGTTTCTTGTTTACTTAAGTGTAAAATTAGTGAAGTGGAAAAGAAGAGCTAGAGTGGAGGATTTCCATTAGAGTGGAGGATTTCTCTCTAGCTACGTGTGAGAGGGGGAAAAAAATTTAAGATTTGAGATGCTGTCAGTTGAGAATGGAGGGGGACGGGTGGGAAAAAGTGTATTTGGATACCTGGATAGACTAACGGTAACTCTGTCTTCTATTAAAAATGAGATGTAATAGTGGGTTTCTTTGCTCTCTTCTCTCTTGCTTTTAAATGTTGCAACTTTCCAAATGAAGCATCATTTTCCTGAATTCCCTTAAGAACTTGTTAGCAGCGACTTTTATCTGTCAAATTTTTCTCTATTGTATTGCTAAATCAGATCTCTTGTGAAAAAGCCTTTTAGATTTAGTTGTAGGATTAGTTTAGGTTTAGTTTATGTTTAGTAACATGGTACTAGACTGGGTAGAGAAACATAGACTGCTGTCTCGCTTTAGCCAGAAGGCTTAAAAAGGCAGGATTAAAGTAGGAGGCCAAATTACTTACCTCTGTCCATCTTTAATTTTTTTTTTTGTTGCAGTGCTCTGTTTTAAATAAGGGTTTACATAGTTGGGAGAGAGCATTGTATGAAGCATGATAGCCACTATGCTTGTAGAAGGGTGAAATTCACCTGAGAAGTTTCACAAGCTATTTTTAGTGGGGCTAAGCACAGTCTAATATCATAAGAGCATACAAAGCTAGAACCATGAAGCTGATCCCAGTGATACTATCTTTGTCCATCTCTGCTGAAAACAGTTCAGGCAATGGTAAGGTTCTCTGTAGGACCAAAGTTAGCAGCTGTGATTTGGGGGTGGGGGGGGAGGTGGTGGCTTTTTGTCAAGGACTAAACCAGCTGATCTTAGTCTTCATCACCAACTTCAAATCGGATGTTTTTGTTTTGGTTCCCCTCCCCTGAGGCTCCTTTCCCACTTTTCTCATCCTCATTTTTTCTAGAACATACTTGCTGAAAACCTGTTTGCTGAACTAACCACTCCACAGTCAGTGGTCTCATTGAGGCTGTGCTAAAGGAAGGTAGCCGTAGCTGTATTGCTTAAATAGCTTGCCGAAAGAAGGCCTGGCAAATCAGCTAAGAGATCGTTTCTACTGACTCATGATCCTGAGTTCACTCAGTCTGGGTGAGATACTCGGCTGTTTTAGGATGCTTGGTCCCAACCAGGATCATTCTGAAGCTCCGTTTAAGAGATTTAAATGTACAGAAATCATTATTTATCATTGCTGTTACTGATAAGCTATAGCCCTGCTATAAGTCTCATGTAACTTGAATTCAAGATACGTGTGTCTTCTGTAACTGTGTTCTGGTCAGGTAAATACATTACAGGTTTCTAATCTGTTTTGTTTTTTTCTTTTTTATTAGATCACATGTATTAGGTTTTTTTTTTTCTTTTCCCTGAGTATGATTTGATAAGTTTGTGCCAATTCTCAGCTCTTCCTATTGATCTAACTAGAAGAGCACTGTATTTATCTTCTGCACCAGTTTGAGAATTTTGTTCAAACATTTTCATTATTTTCTGTGGGAAATAACTGTGCAGTTACTGTTAACGTTTTGTAAAGTTCCAAGTTCTCAAGGAACGGTAACTTTCTTAATACACCATCTCTACAGGGACAGAATGGGCAGAAGAAGTACCAGATCAATCTTAAAAGTAGTTCAGGACCTATCCATGTGCTGCTTATAAATAAAGAGTCGAGCTCCTCCAAGCCCATGGTGTTTCCAGTTCCTCCGCCCGATGACCTTGCACAGCCCCCATCTCAACCGGCAGCTCCAGCAACTCCCCTTAAACCTGCTACAGCTCCTCAAAATCCACCAGAACAACAAGGTCCTAACCAAGGACGAGAGTTACCGCAAACATCAGCTGCGGACACGCCATCAGGTGGGTCCAGGGTTTTTCCTCCCTCGGATGGGTGGGGGAGGAAGGGGACTGGAGGGAAGGAAGAAACTCTTAGAAACGGTGGTAGATAAAGGAAAGATGAAGAATTTGCATAGCGTAGCAGCTGTTTGTTAAGGGCTTACTAACAGCTCTCAGGAGGTTACAGAGAAGCCTCTTCCTCTTCTGTCTTCTGTCTGGTGAAACAGATTCTCCCCTTGTAGCTTATCGTCTTATACCGAACAGGTTTTGGATGTGATCCTGTTAATTATTCTGAGGTGCTTCTCCAGAATGCAGTGTGGAACGAAATTGCCAACCTCTGATGGAATGTATCATTTGAACATGTACCTTTTAATGAGACAGATAATACAGGCACCAGTTCCAGCTTTTGTGCCACAAGGTCACTTACCTTCTTCCACATAGCCACAGTGAGAGACTGCCTGAATATCAGGTATTTTTTTTGTAATAATAGTAGGGTGATATGAAAAGACTTAAGAAAATGCTGTCAGTGTTACAGACCGCATTTCGGAGGGGTCCTGATTTAAATTGTGCCTGTGACTTTGGAAGGGGGAGACTCCTCTCACCTCATCCCAAACATTGGCCATGTTCTCCTCAAAAGACAAAGCCGGGTGCAGGTGTTTTGTGTTCCTTTTTCCTGTAACAGACTTTGTAACATGCCTTTCTGTCTTTGTAGACGGCAGTGTGCAGCAGAACAGTACAGCCCCAGCAGCGACTTACTCCAGCCTTCCAGAGTCGGTGTTGTACCCCAGCCTTTCAGGAGATGTCGCCCAAGCTACCGCTAGCTCAAATGACTACCAGGGCTTGCTGCCCCTGGATGTCAACTGTATTCTCAAGCCAAACTCATTCGACATGGCAAAGATGGAAGAACCCGCAGGTAGGAAGAAGCAGTTACTGTTTAAATGTTTTTATTAGTTTCCTGAGCCCTTCTTTGTGACCAAGCTACCGATGAGTTACACAGAGGGAAAGATGAGCACTTTTCCAACAGAGGAAATGACAGGCCTTTGTTCATCTCCTAATGAAGCCACTGAGCCAGCTCTGAGTAGCAAACGCACTTTGAGCAAAATACCTTTGTCTGCCACCAAATAAGCTTCATATTGTACATGGCTCTAGGGTTATAAGGGATCAGTGGGAGAAATGTATTGGTGAAAAACTGAGGGGTACGAAGACGAATATATCTTACATACACATGGCATGCTGTCTCCACAGCTCCTACACTGCACGTGAGCCATACTGTACTTTGCAGTTCAGTGTTCTAATGCAGAGAATATGTGTTGACTTCCATAAACACATGCTCCTGTCTTTCACAGGAAATATCAGTGGGGATATTATTGATGAACTCATGTCTTCTGATGGTAAGTATTTACCATCCTTACTTTTCTAATAATCACAGGTAGCAGCATGGGTTTTGTGTGAATGGCACTCTTGGTAGGTGTCTGTTAAACCTGATGCCAAGAGTCAGTATGGAACTACTTCTTTTCCCTGTACTGCCTCCTCTATCTTCGTCATTCTTGTCTTTGCTCCCCTTTCTATTCCCTGCAACAGTTTTATTTAACAATCAAAATATGAAAGCCTTAATCCAGCAAGCACTTGCATGCATGAGTAACCCACCAGTCCTTAATTCAGGAACAAAGAAAGAACAGGCTGATGACTAGAGTGCTGCCTTAAAAAAAAAAAAATCTGGTTTAATTCTGTTCTGCTTTAGGCTTCCTGCAGGAGCTTTGGGTAAACATTTCAGAACATATTTACGTGCCTGCACGCAGACTGATACATGGCCAGCTGTGGTACACTAACAGAACAGACAAATGTCACCTGTTTCTGCTCTTGCACCTTGGTGGCCATACGAGCGCAGAACTGAACCACAGCTCTAAGTTCACATGCTCCCTGCCTCTCTGCTCTGTCTCGCTAAGGTGCCAGGCAAAGAGGTGAACTCAGCTGGCATTGTTCCTCTTGCCCTGTAAATATGCTGCTGTGAGCAGCCTCTGCTAATATCTGCCCTTCAAGCAGACAACCTCGGGGCTTATGGAGAAAGAACCGTGTAATTATAAGATCTGAGGGGCAAGATGGGATTACGTGAATGTGCCAGTACCTGGCTAAAATGGAAGTAGTCTCCACTTTTAGAGCAGGTGCAGCATGCCCAGCTCATCTGCACTAGGTTAGTGTTCCTGAGGTGCAGCATGAGGGCTGAGGGTTCTCTTCTTGCATTCCTTCCCCAAAGATGGCTTCAAGTCCATGCTTGAAATGCAGTGCACAGAGAAACTGCTAGCCTCCATTTTTCATCTGTGAAATAGGGATAATGGTAACTTCCTTACTTAAAATGATAATATTTGAAGGCTGATATATGCAATACTGTAACAAGGCAAAGGAATATAAATATAAATGATGGCTTTCTGATGAAAGTTTCAAAAGCTGCTCAGGAGCTTCTTGGCTGCAGAAAGAGAAATTAAGTCCATATTCCACAGCCATCACTTCATTCCAGCAAATTCACGTAAAATACTAAGCAAAAAATGTAGACATGTCACTTACTGCCTTAGTTTGAAGGCGATACAGGTATTCACAGTATGTACCCGAGCATGCTTGTCAGATTATCAAGACTATTTTAATTATTAAGACTAACCCTGATACTGGTGATGACAAACGTACTGAATTATGAGATAGGGCTGATATTCCAAAAGTGTTTTAATTTAAACTAAACTATTCCTGCTTTACAGTTTTTCCTCTCTTACGACTCTCTCCTACTCCCGGAGATGACTACAACTTTAACCTGGATGATAATGAAGGAGTCTGTGATCTCTTTGATGTGCAGATACTAAATTATTAGATATTGTGTCAACCAGACTACTTATCTACCTCTAACTATAACATTCTAGACTTCTTCATAACCTAAGTATTTGAATAATGAATGTATAACTTCTTAGTTCACTGACTCTGGGAGTATATTTCCTTTTGCTTCCTTTAACTACTTCACAAAACAAATTCAACAACCAGAAAAAAGGGCTTTTTATCAAAAATTCTGGCACGTTTTTTCACGAGTGTCCTCTGTGTAATCCAATTATTTGGAGTTTTCTTTAGTAAGAAAAGTGAAAATGCTTTATAGCCTTTTGATCATTTTTTTAAAAATGATTAGGCTTCTTGCTCACAGTTAACAGCATTTTCTTTGAAGCTTTACTGCCCAGAAGCTTTCTACATTTTTTTTTTACCCTTTCAATCAATTTTGAAGCTTTCACTGCCAAGCTGAAAAGTGAAGGATATCAACTTCAGTTATACTAAATTGTTTCAGTGAACCAATTTTGTGAAGTGCCTTCTGTTTTAGCACTTTAAGTTTCTCACACTGACTTCTGACATTCCACTTTCCTAGATGATAGGAAAGGTCTGTTTGTAGTTTGTATTAAAGTGTGCCAATGCTTGTATATTAACAAGATTTTTTTTTAATAAAATTGTACAAACAAAGCCATCAGTATTTTTGATCTTCATTTCTTGCAATCCTTTCATTGTCCATTATGCATTACAACTGAGATAATAGGCTTGCAGCAGCATCCACATTTGCTGGTTCCTCTTCCAGATGTGTGGAAACCTGAAAAAAATAAGTTACAGTTTAAAGTAGAAAGCAGTATCTTTTTACTCTGCTTGAAAAAAAAACTAATAAATACCTGTTGTCTAGAAGATTAGTTTGTCTTTATGTATTTAATTCAGGCTAATTTAGGCTTCCTAGATATAAGGAAGAAATTTTTTACGCTGAGGGTGGTGAAACACTGGCACAGGTTGCCCAGAGAGGCAGTGGATGCCCCATCCCTGGAAACGTTCAAGGTCAGGTTGGACGGGGCTCTGAGCACCCTGATCTAGTTGAAGATGTCCCTGCCCATGGCAGGGGGGTTGGACTAGATGACCTTTAGAGGTCCCTTCCCCTTCCAACCCAAACTATTCTATGATTCTAATTTGGGGGAATTACAGGATTCACTAAACTTGACAGATAAGCAGCCAATACTTTGTGCTGCAGGAGAAAGACAAAGCATCATGACAAAATACACATGGCCAAATGGAAACAGGCTCAGCTTTTAGTTCAGGAAATGCTCTCAACAACATAATTTTGCAGCTTTGGAGAAAATACTATTACAGCCTGAGTGATCAAATTCAACATTACACCATGTACAGCCCTACCACCATGGGAGCAGTGGGATAGTCCAAATTCCTGGCTGTGTACAATAGCAAGCCAGCAGGGACAGGGCCACTGGCACCAATTGCCTTGAAACCCTTGCTCGGCCTCATCCTGCGCTGGCGGCACTGTCACCTACGTTTCACTTTTTCCCCTCAGCCTCTCCTTAAGGTATTTGACACTTGTTCTGTTGCTCCCAGCTATACAGAAACTTGATCACTGCAGGCACAGTAAATAAAACTCAACTCATGTCCACTTCTCCCAACTCCCTGTACTTCCTCCAGCAGCCAGGATGGATTCATCTCTACTTAGTCCTGGCCCACTGCTTTTTCTCTCCACCAAACCATACCTAGTACATCAGGAAGAGTCAGCATAAAGAGTTCATATGGAGGAACTTGTCTGCAATTAAATTCTGTGAATTATTTCTTGCTCAAGACTGCATGTAGCCCTATTTATTTAATAGAGTAGACAAAGGAAGACGAGCGAAACACTGTCTTGAACCTTGAGTGCTACAGGCAAGAGCTCTAGTACAGAAATTGCTGTTTCAGGCATTGGTACTTCTGATGAGGGAATATGAAGGCTTAGGAATCAAGAACAGAGGCAGAGCTGTTTGGTTTAAAGCACTATCAGGTGCTTCAGGTAGGGAACAGCAAGGTTCATCCTTACTTTCTATGTCTATTCATGTTAAGGCATAAGCCTCAAATCAAGGGGCTGGAGCTGGAATTAACTTTAAAAAAAATCAATTAAAAAACAGAGAGAACATAATTTAAAAAAATATTTTGGAAGCATGCTCCAGCTTGGCTGCCCACCCTCATCTCTCTTGACTTTAGTAGTTATATAGCACTTGAATATGCTAACCAGATTTCAACATTACCACACAACTGAAATCAATAAAGCTGGGTTTATAGCTTTAAAGCAACTGCATTAATTGCTTGCAGTCTTAGAGCCAGAATATAATGCTCTGAACATGCACTTTCCTTTCATTTACCTCCTTAGATTTTTACAAAGGGAAATTACCTGATGACTCTTCTGAGGTTCTGCTGCAGCGCCTTTTGATAGCTGCTGTACTTCTTTCTGAATTTCAGCAAATGCTTTATTTATTGTGCTAACTTTCTCAGCATTTTTAATGTTTATCTGAGAGGGAAAAAAATACACAATTGGTATTTTTAACTGAAATTCCATTGGCATGTGAAATTGCACCATTTTTGTACAACTATTAATACAGCCAGTGTTATATGCATATCTTCCAAAATTGCTTTTTAGTAGGTATGTTTTTAAACTTGAGTTTATCTGTTAGTTATATCATCTAGTACATCATAGTATCTATATCTATATATATCATCTAGTACATCTAGTACATAGAACAGACATGTTCTACATATTAGAACATGTACTACTAATGTTCTAATAAATTGAAAATTATGAAAGCAGTTAAACTTGTTCTATTGAAAAGGGATCCCATAGTGACCCAGAAGCAGAACACAGAGAAAACAAAAGCCAGGCTGTGGACAGGCCCTGCTGTGCCGCCCTCAGCTCCTCTTAGCTGGAGTGGAATTCCAGGAAGGGCTCCTTCCTTCTTTTGTAAATGATCTTACCATTTTCCGTTTCTTCCAGTAGTTTGCCTTTCAGCATCACACCTTGCATTTCTGCTTGTTCATACTGTAGGTCTGGCCAACAACGTCTACTGGATTTTGCTAGGGTATTTAAAGAAAGTTCTGTGGCTGTAGCAGACCAGGATGTGTGTCTGGTCCCTGGACACCTCAGTCTCACCTACTAGCCCAAGTCTGCCTTCATAAGTTACTTCAGCAAAGATGCTTGCTTTTGAAGGTGAAGAGCTAAGATTCGGATGCGTGCTGTGCTCTGGGGACAATAATCTGTCATAGAGGAGCAGGGTGGATGCATGGGGCCATCAACTCTTTCACCACTGCAGCAAACTAAAATTCAGCTGATCTCAGCCCTAGCACTTGCTGCTTCTGAAGCACGAAGTCTGGAACAGGATTGTAGCCAGATAATGGCCTATTACATTGCAAATGTTCCAGAAAGACGCTCATACTCCTTCAGCCCACCTCAAATTTCAGGATACCTACTGCTGTTGCAAAGGCTACCCCTGTAATTCACCTCTCAGCAATTTACATAGGCAGAAGCAAACCATGAACTGTTAAACGTATTCACTTTGCTTTCAAAGCTTCCATAATTTCAGAGCATGTGTACATTAACAATAATTCCATTTATTCTAAGTGAGTGACTAAGAGAACCAGTAGTAAGAAAGCAGTGGCAAGAGGCTGATAAAAGAAGCCTATTCAGATTAGCAGTTTAATTCATAACACCCTGGATGGTGGCTCGAGAAACACGGACTCGGCTCCTAGCTCAAATCAGAGTGGAGGGAACTGTGGGCAGTGCAATTTACAAAGAGTTAGATTTCCTGTCGGGGCTTGTTACCGTTTTCCAGCTTCACAGGGGTGCTAAAAGGATCCAGTCAGTTTTAACACCTGGTATCCTCAGCTACTCTGGCAGGACTCTTCCGTAGAAAGAGGCTCTGTAGCTAGCATGTGTATCTGTATCAAAAGTTGTTGAAATAGTTATAATGGGCTTTTACCTATTGCAGAATAAATCTATTTTAACAATTTTTTTCTGAGCATTTTCCTACACTGCTTAATGATAAGTACATCCCCAAAGGCTTAATGAACTGAAGAATCGGCTTCAAACACACAGAATAAAATTTTACTCCTAATAAGCTACTGACTTTTCTTGAATATGTTTCTAAACCTGTTTCTCCCTTTATTATACAAAACCCTCTAGACTAAGTGGAGATGTGACGCCAGCAATACGAAATTGTTTTGGGGCCCCCTGTTTATTTCCAAAGTTTGTTACGTTCGTGTCTGTCTACCAGATTAACTTGTCGAGTGGCTTTAGCTTCCAGGAGAAAATATGAAAGGGCCTTTTTTTAGAGCTGCTATTTAACTCCGTTTCCCAGCAGACTGCAACTAAATCTAATGGGAACAATAAGCCACTAACTTTCTGCTTTTATTATTAGATGCCCTTCTAGAGGGACCAGCTGAACTCTCGGCAGATCACACAGCTCAGGCTGGAGGCAGGGCTTGAGAGGAAGATACCATATATGACTTGCTGCTACCAAGAGGAAAACTCTTGCTAAGATGACCCCCATCCCTCTTCCCCTGCATCGCTCCCAGCCACATAACCCACTCTCTCCCCCCTCTGGGCTGTGGTGCTCTCCGGACCCGAACACGAAAACGGCAGAATATTATTTTTGCTTGTTTACTTTTCCATTGCTTTAGCGTGTTAAATCTGCTCACAGAAGGGTCTGCAGAGCATCCCAGCCCATGTAAGCTGTCAGAAGGGGGAAAAGAGGAATTAAGAGTAAAACATATGGCAGTGTGTGCTCTTAGATCTCTTCACTGCATCTCACTGACACGGTTTTACTTGACAGCTGAGACAAATAAACAGCTTCTGGATCAGAAAAGGCTCCATCCTTTCTGGTTTTCCCCCCCCAAAATGTTTCTCTTTGCACTCATTCATAGTCAAGTTTGTTCAACTCATCAACCCAGCAGAGAAAAATGAAAAACGCATTTTTAATTGCTTTTGCTGCTGATTCAGCAAGTTGAATCACCTAGCATGGGATGAGTTCCCAAGCCAGCATCCAGGCGAGCTGTGGGAACAGAGCCCGGAGCCCGGTAAGGGAGGCCGGAGTTGGGAACATGACGGAAAGCAGGAGGACTTCCCCTTGCAGTTATCTGTGCCTGGTGGTTTGGATCAAGCCGTTTTGTGAAACCATACCCTGAATTACACCACCAGTGACGCTGCAAGCGCTGCCGAGTACATGCGGGCTCATTGAACAGCCGATGTCTTTAGCACCACGTTCCCCAGGACATACGGAGGTGCTCGCTGTCAGACGCTTCCTAAATGGCCCCCCTCAAGCAGAACAGCTTCAAGTCTTACGTGGCAGATGCTTGCAGGAGATTAGTCAAATAAACTTTTCGTGTCATCGTCTTTCTGAAGACGATGACATCAACATAAGACAAAATTTTCGGGTGGAAATTGTGTACTTTGCAGTTTTGTACCCAGAAGAATACTGTCCACAAAACAGCTCTATTCAGTCAGGCACGAGCGCTTCCTCCGCCCCGCAGGAGAGGCCTAAGAGGAGGAAAGGCCGCACCTGCCCG